ATACTTACGAAATCTGCTTTCTGTGGGTTTTTTTACTTCATTGAAGGTGAATAGAAATAATGACTGAAAGTCTTAACAAAGAAAATTAAATGATTTGTAAGTTTTGTACCTAGAAATATATGAGATTTATATCTGACTTGTAGAATTGTTATCGTAAAAAATGGTAGTTTGCAAAATTATGTTATTAGTACAAATGACTGGTCTGGAACTAAAGTGGTCTATGAAACATTTTGGCTAAAATCCAGGTTATGGTAAATTTTATCTGAACAGGTGAGCATCAATACTTCCTAAAGTGGTCTCTATGCCATTTGTCGTTGTAAGTGGCGCTTAATAAAAGTTCCACTTTAGTATTGACAGATGGTTTTAATGTTAGTCAATTTTTCAGTGGTTTAAAGTCACATTGTGATTCGTACCGAGGCTAGCACATATTATACATATTACTAGCACAATAATACGCATATTACTTACATAAGGTTTCTGCAACGAATTGAAATATTTCCAATTTATTGCACTCATAGAGAATATACTGGTCCCTCAGTTCTCCCTGTAAGAACAGTTGCAAGTGTGACGTCTGCTCGCCGCGTGGCCTGTCGCTGCATGCCTGCCCGCCACATGCCTGAACGCCACATGCCGAGGACGCGCTGGAAGGCCCAGCGGACTATTTTGGCCGAGGCCCAAAAGCCAGGCTCTGCAAAGTTTATATTTTTATTTCGTTTCGTAGGAATACAGCATGCACCATGACATGGCGTGGAACGTAAATCTCGATGAAAGGGGACGGAATAATTTTAGGATAATGTATGGAGCTTTAAACTTAAGCGCGGTTCAGTAATTGAATGTTTGAGTACACATGAAAGGCAGTTTCAAAAAGTATAAAATCGTTGAAGAAATACAACAGTAAGAAAACAAAAAATGTATACAGTATGTAGAATTTATCTACGTATATATTATATATTCATAAGTATGTATTATTTTTTATCATTCTTTTAATTTTGAACAAAAATTCGAATATTCCTTGCAGTAAAGTTCGAAATTTTCTTGCTCGTAAGTCGTGCTTGAAATCCCAGTTGTGTTAAGTTCATGCTGTATAGCCCTACATAATTCACCATCCGTAAATTTCTCTCTTACCGTTCTCCATTTTCAATTTCTTTCTCACTTTTATGTTCAAATCCCTGCCTCGCTCTCACAATCGTTCGCGCGCCTACCCTATGACACTCGCCTTGCACTCTCCCACGCGTGCCTCTCTCAGCCACACGCTGGAGCTTTGTGGTTGACGTGCACTCCGCTAGGTAGCAGGCGCGTCGGCGATAGAACTTCCATCTAGCCACAGCGCACCTAACTACACAGGCCTCCCGCGCCTCATTTCTTTTGCTCTCAGTCAGCTGCGCATTGCCATTTGACAGGTAATGGTTTCTCTTACGAGTTGGTCGGCAAACGCGTGCGACAGATTTCTTTGCGCCTGCCACTTCCTATTTTTAGCGACGAGGGGAAAAAGAAAGCAGGCGCGCCGCGTCACACACGGATTATTACTGCAATATTACCGAGTGCGGGCGCACTGGCGGTAATCCAGCGCGATGAGGCAACACCCAGGGACGGCGGCGGAGGCGGCGGCGTCCGGTCGACCGGCCGGCTGGTGAAGTGGCTTAAAATACGCGTCGTGGGAGTGCGGGAGACGCGAAGCGGCTGTTGCTTCTACGGTTGATGTGCCCAGAGCGCTGGCGGCGGAGGTGGAGGTGGCGAGGGCGGTAGCGATGTTGGCGGCGGGGCAGCGGGCGCCAGGGTGGTGGACAGCGGAGGAAGAGTGGGAAAGGGTGATGTTGGAAGAGGAGAAGAGTGGGGAAAGCTGGATGAATCGAGTGAAGGATAGAGGTCGTGTGTACGACTGTGCACATTAACGAACGTTGGGGTGAGGCATTCGGCGAAGAATATCTCGTTTCGACGTAGAAGAATAGCTTCCCTCGCAAGAAGAATGGTGTCCTAGTTACATCATTATCGTATGGAGACGAAATATCTGCACACACAACCAATTCTGATTTCTCCTCTTGTAACAATGTTTTTCATAGATACTGTTATATAATATTGTGTTATTGTAGTAGCGTATCAACAACGTGAGGCAAAAGCAATGCGAACAGTTAATATGCTTAAGTTTGTTTAATGTTTGTGATATTCTTGTGTTCATCAGTTTCCCTTAATTTTCATCCCTTCCCTTTGTATTTTATTTTTGTACTTTTCCCTTCGGATTTTGAATGCAGTGTATTGTAGAGAAATTTATAAGGTCAGTGGAGCAAACAACTCTCCCAAAAGGGATCGATGGAGAAAGAGGTTTCGAATCCCTGACATAAAGGAAAACTTGTAGAAATGTCTTCCCAGAACTTCTACACATGTGTGTTTGCTTCTGTGATCATCGAAATTAAAAGAGAAAAGATTCCAAATGAGTGTGTAGTGTAAAAGTAGATTTGTGTGAAAATTACGTAATGAGTGTGAAGAACGTACCTGCCGTACATCACTGCATAAGGGGTTGCCTAAAACTAAGGGGAAAGTTACTTTAACAACAATATTAATATTTATTCTGAATCGGCTGAGATCGTTGAGGCAGTAGTTCCGTAGCACTCTCGGACCAGAATATCGTGGATTCGAGCCCCGCCTCGGACATGTGTGTATTTGTGTATGTCTGCATGTGTGTCGTCCTTTCAATCCTCATTATTATTATTTCATCTTCCATGCCCCCAGGGCTAACAACCCTGGGAGACAAAAATCGGATCCAGCTAAATGCTGAACCCCAAATAAAGTTACATGCACCTTCCACCGAGATAATGATAATGAGCCTTGCGATAAATGCAGGGTGCGCTCATGCTTGGTCCAAGTCGGGCTATTCGCTAGCAAAAGCTAATATACAAATATTAAGGATAACTCGGGATATTTGGGACCTATGAGATCTTCAGTCGCATAGTGACATTATTTCATGGGTTCTTTTCTTTTTAATATTAATATTCTACTGGTACTTTTCATCTTAATTTTTCTTCTTTATTCCCTTATCTATTGTTTCTTTGCACCTTCATTATTATTCTTGGTCATGTGATAACAAATTTCTAGACGATCGTGCGGAGATATAACGGTAGACATTTTGGAGCAGTTAATAAATAAATAATTATTTAAGTTAAATACCGGAGAGGTAAACTGTCGGTTTTATCTTCAGAATGGATTAAGTCAGTCTACTAAGTTTTGAAGAAGTATGGAGTCGTTGAGTTTTTTTTGTTTTTTTTAAAATTTGGATAATGACTTGCTACAGTTGTTTCCTCTATAGATTTTGGCCGTAAATTCTGTTACGTATCCTCACGTATCCTAACATTCTGAAAACAAGCGATTCCACTTGTCTTTGTGGTACACAGTGATCTTTACTTTTCTTTGACTTCGAACTGCGGAAAGCCGAAAGTGTGTATTCACAGCTGCTCTACACAAATTATACGGGAAATGTGTAAATCTTTTTTCAATGCCACTACCCTACTGCAAGATTAAACGTACCGTACTTGACGCCCTAGTGACGGCTTAAAGCTGTTTCGTGAATCATTTTACACTTTTTGACGCCCTAGTGACAAACATCTCGTGCCTCGCACGCCCTGTGTGCGGGTATTTCTGTTCTATTTGTGGCAGCTCTGTTCGTCATACGCTGTGGTATGCAATGTGACGAATGGCTGAATGCCTTGCGGTTGTGTTCTGGTCGTAGCTTGCGCTGTTCGGCATGTGTTTTTTAAATCTCGAAACCGATGACGAATCAGCTTCAAAGCGACCTTAGCGGACGGCTGTGCATATCCTTGAAAAATTATCTGTTCCTATTTCTGTCGTTTACGAGTCAGAGGGAAACAAATGCAAAATAGTGAAATACTTGTGCAGTTTTCGATTGCTTTTTAATGTTGTTCTGCACAAATTTAATACGTGGATGAATTGTTACACGAAAGGATAACATTTTAATACGAAGGGAGTAAGAAGCATAAATTAAGTTCAAAACAGTACTTCGCATGTTTGTCATATAATAATTAAATAGCAAAAAAATGTTAAACGTAGGGACGTACAGAAATACAGCATTTGCATATAGTGCCTGTCAGATTCGATACCGAAATAACGAGAGGGGTCGGCCGGGCGGTGACCGGGGACCCGCAAATCATGAGACCTGATGACTGAATTGATGGAGAAAAAATTGAAAAAAGGTGAAAAAACTAGAGAAAATAGTTGCAGTTTTGAAAGTTGCAGTACAGTACTATGATATTTGATTCATTTTCATTTATATTTTTACTATAAATATTTCATTAGTCTTTACTTATAGAAAAGGACTCAATGAAATAAATAAAGTGGCGCAAACATTAAAATAGGATTTACTGAAATTCCCATTACTATTTCATGTATATAACTACACGTGATTTTATTGAACACTAACTAAACATAATTTTTTGTCGTTTTAAGAACACTGTGAAAATTCACCAAATACTATTCATTAAAACTATTATTTAAAATTTTTATTGAAATAAAGAACTCATAGTAGGTTCTTGACACAATATTCACATCATTAATTTTTAGAGGGGGCGGCTACGTTGCAGCGTTGCCCCTGGCCCAAATCGTGTAGCTCCAGCACCTTTGAAGAGGTTCCGATCGCGACCTCCCCCAACTCGCGCACGCGCTCTGCC